GGCAAAAAAATGGGGTTTTCTTTTTTACATTTTTCATCCTAATCAAGAAAATAGCATTATCACTTGGCTGGTGTGGCTCAATGGTTGAGCATTAACCCATGAACTTAGAGGTCATGGTTCAATTCCCAGAAAGGGCTCATGCCCCGGTTGTGTGCTTGATCCCCAGTAGGGAAAGTGCAGAGGGCAGCTTGTCACTGTTTCTCTCTCATCAATGTTTCTCTATCTCCTGCTTACTTCCACTCTAAAAAATCAATAAAAACATATTTTAAAAAGATGGCATATCCATAAAACAAGGAAGAAAAATTAAATAATTAAAAAGATGTCCTGGAAATTAAAAACTGATTACAGAACCCAGCCGGTGTGGCTCAGTGGTTGAGCAGCAACCTATGAAACAGGAGGTCACAGTTCGATTCCAGATTAGGGCACATACCAGGTTGCGGGCTACATCCCCAGCAGGGGCGTGCAAGATTCTCTCTTATCACTGATGTTTCTATCTCTCTCTTCCTCTCCCTTCCTCTCTCTCTAAAAATAATCAATAATATCTCTATGTATATAAATATATTTATACTTATAAAAGGATAATATGCTAATTAGAGTGGACATCTTCTGGACGTCCTTCCGGACAAAGCCAAAGTGGCTGAAAGGGCTGAGGGCAAGCAGCCATGGCGGCGGCTGCAAGGCCCGGGGCTCAGGCAGCAGTGGGCTCAGGCAGCCATGAGCCCTGGCAGCTGTGAGGCCCGGGGCTCAGGCAGCCGTGAGCTCCATCAGCCGACAGTGACAGCAGCAGTGGGGTGATGGGTGTGGCGCCTTCCCCTGATGGGCCTGGTCACCTACTGCAGAAGGAGGCCAGAAGCAGCAACAGTGAGGGGGTGATGGGGAGCATGTCTCAGCTGTCAGTAAGACATCCCCTGAGGGCTCCCAGACTGTGACAGGGGGCATGCTGGGCTGAAGGACCCCGCCCTCCAGTGCACAAATTTTCACGCATCAGGCCTCTAGTAATAATAAAAGTGTAATATGCTAATTAGACCAGAAGTCCTTCTAGGCAACCTTTCAGACAAAGCCACAGAGGTGGGGGTAGGGGCGAGCCTCTTGCATGAATTCCATGCATAGGGCCTCTAGTCCTACCTAATAAAGAGTAATATGCAAATTAACCATCACTCCGCTACACTCACAAGCCATGTCCACCAGCCAATCAGAGCGGGTATACAAATAAACCCAACCAAGATAGCTACAGCCACAGAGAGCAGGAGGGAGGCTTGGGTTTCCCCGGCAATGGAGGAAGCCAAGCTTTCCGCCTGCCCTTGCGGGCCTAAGCCTCCACTCAAGGATTTCAATTATAGAAGGTAAACAAATCCAAACAGAAATGGCGGCAGCCACGGAGCTAGAAAGAGGAGGCGACTAAGGTTGCCCCTCCCCCCCGCCCTCACAATTGAAGAAGCAAAGCTTTCTGCACACCCTGTCTGTCCCAGGCCTCCACTCCAGGCTACAAAGTTTCAATTATAGAAGATACATAAGTCCCCACAGAAATGACTGCCAGCCTCAAAGCCAGCAGGAGGCTTGGCTCCACTCCAGGCTACAGTTTCAATTATAGAAAATAAATAAATTCCAGATACCAGGGACTCCACTTGAGCCGCCAGGGGGCGTGGCTGGCCTTCAAACCACCACAGCCCCCCCCCCCCCTCTCAGGCCACCCCACACCCCAAGGGAACCCCCACCCTGATCCAGGACACCCTTCAGGGCGAACCAGCTGGCCCCCTCCCATGCACCAGGCCTCTATCGTATCTAATAAAAGAATAATATGCAGATTTTCCATCATTTCAACACACAATATGGCTGCCCCCATATGGCAAAGATCCTGCCCCTATGTGGACACAAGATGGCCACAAGATGGCCAGCAGGGGAGGGCAGTTGGGAGGCATCAGGCCTAAAAGGGAGGGCAGTTGGAGGCGATCAACCATGCAGGGGAGGGAAGTTATGGGTGACCAGGCCGGCAGAGGAGGGAAGTTGGGGGCAAACAGGCTGGGAGGGGAGCAGTTAGGCATCAATCAGGCTGGCATGGGAGTGGTTAGGGGGCAATCAGGCTGGTAGGTAGAAGCAGTTAGGGGCAATCAGGAAGGCAGACAGGCGAGGAGTTGAGAGCCAGCAGTCCTGGATTGTGAGAGGGATGTCCAACTGCCCACCAGGATTGGCCCTAAATGAGCAGTCGGACATCCCTCGTGGGGTCCCAGATTGGAGAGGGTGCAGGCTAGGCTGGGATACACCCTCCACCCCCATGCATGAATTTCATGCACCGGGCCTCTAGTATGTATGTGAGTGCATATTAAGTATAAAAGAAAAAGAAAGCCGAAACTGGTTTGGCTCAGTGGTAGAGCGTCGGTCTGCGGACTGAAAGGTCCCGGATTCGATTCCGGTCAAGCGCATGTACATTGGCTGCAGGCACATCCCCAGTAGGGGATGTGCAGGAGATGGCTGGTCGATGTTTCTCTCTCATCGACGTTTCTGGCTCTCTATCTCTCTCCCTTCCTCTCTGTATAAAATCAATAAAATATATTTAAAAAAAAAAAGAAAGAAAAAGAAAAAAAGAAGCAACAGCACATGATAATAAAATATAGTGTAAGAAAAAGAAAATCCAATTAGAAGGAGGATGAGACATCTGGTAAATTGAATAATAGCCCCACAAAATGTCCACATCCTAATCCCTAAAACCTATGAATATGTTACCTTGCAGGTACAGATATGATTACTAGTAAGGATAATCTTGAGATGGAAAGATTATCCTTGTTTATCTGGACGGGCCCAGTATAATCACAAGGATTCTTCTAAGAGACAGAGGCAGGTGAAGTGACAATGAAAGCTGAGAGAAAAAGGTCGAATTTTCCTACACTATTGGTTTTGAAGATGGAGGGTAAAGTCAAGAGCCAAGGTATACAGGTGGCATCTGGAAGCTAGGAAATACAAGGAAACAGATTCTCCTCTGAAGTGTCTGGAAAGAATGCAACCCTGCCAATTATCTTCACTTAGGATTGTGATCTTTAGAACCATAAGAGAATAAGTGGTCTACCAGTATATATATAAAACCCTAATATGCAAATAGATCGAAAAGCAGATCAATTGAACAACCGGTCGCTATGACATGAGCTGACCACCAGGGGGCGCGCACAGAACATGGAGGCCATTGGGAGCAAGAGACAGAGCACAGAAAATGGCAGGCATCAGCCATGGTAGAACAGTGGAACAGATGAACGGGGGCACCAGACCAAGGCAGAGTGCTGGTCACTGTCATCAAGGCGACCCTCTGGTGCTTACTGAAAATTCTTTGTTCCCGCATGCCATGGTCCGGCCAGGCACTCACACCTGCTGCCAGCTCCAACGCTGCTACTTACACCTGCTGCTGGTGCCTGGCACCAGTCCTGATTCCTTGGCGCCATCAGCAGGTACGAGCAGAGGCTGCCAGCCCCGATTGCCCCTGAGAGCTTCTCCACCTCCCCCTGCTCCTGAGGGACTTGGGTACCTTCAGTGGGTGTGAGTGGGGCCAGCACTGTCAGCTCATGGAGCAGCAGTGGCAGGAGCAGGGCTGCTGGCAGACAGGGGACCAGGAGCTGTGGCAGGAGAGGCTGGGGTGGGGGTGCGGAGTATGGTCCAAGAATTGGCCCTGGGCCCACTGCAGCCTCGTGGCACACAATTCCTTTCAAGATGCATGAATTTGTGCAGTGGACTCCTATCCTATATAAAAGGCTGATTTGCAAATCAACCAGTCACTATGACGTGCACTGACCACCAGGGGGCAGACCCACAGGGGGAGTGCTGCTCAGCCAGAAGTCAGGCTCATGGCTGGCAAGTGCAGCAGTGGTGGCAGGAGCCTCTCCCACCTCCACAGCAGTGTTAAGAATGTCCAACTGATGGCTTAGGCCTGCTCCCTGTGGGCCTAAGCTGTCAGTCAGACAGCCCCTGAGGGTTCCTGGACTGTAAGAAGGCGTAGGCCGAGCTGAGGGACCGCCGTCCCTGGCCCCTGGGTGCACAATTTCGTGCATCAGGACTCTAGTATTATATAAGCAACTAAGTTTCTGGTAGTACATTTCTACATCCATAGGAAACCAATACAAGACACCACATGGAGAGACCACATCAGAGCCAAGAAGACAACCAAAGCACCACAGCAGATAGCAGAACCCAGACATGTGAGACAAGCATCTTGGATGTTTCAGCTCAGCCCAGCCCAGGCATCAGCTGAAGCTGCATAAACAACCCCAGCTAACACAACATGGGCAGAAGAAATGCCCAGTTAATACAAAGAGTAGCATGTACAGATTTACTTTATAACCTGAAACAACTTTAAAACAGGACAACCCACATGAACCAGTGATTTTTCAGATAATGGGCAACAAGGAACACAAGACAGAACTCCCTGAAACAAGGGAAGCAAATAATTCCCAGTTTACTGTTTGGAGAGTTTTCAGAATATGTTGCAAAATAGGACAGGGAATTCTAAACAAAGCCTGGGTATGGGTAAAAGCATAAAATGGCAGTGATGAGAGATAGCTCTCTAGAAATCTACCTACAGAGATTCTGCTTGTGGATGCCTCCATTTTCCAATCCCCTCTTTAACTGGACCATACTCCACAACCTTAAGACACTTTTAAGAAAACTTGTTCAGCATCCATACTATCTGTATCTATTCTTAAATCCTGCTTTCTTGATCGGTGACTCACTATACCTATCTCACTGTTTCATTTTGATGCCTTCCTTAATGCAACCCTTGCATAAACCAAAAGCTATGAGTTTAAAATAAGTGTGAAACATTTGTATAGAAATTAAGATAACTGCAAACAGGGATTTACACAGGCCAAGATCTTTATATAAGACCAGTAGTAGGCTTGGGTATGTGTTTAAATACAGTGAAAAAGTGCAAATGTGGTGCAGTTACATATTAACAGACAAGGGAGTCTGAAGAGCTATCACAGAGTACCACCTACAGGACACAAATGGGAAGACAGCCTTACCTTTGCTCTATCAGACCATCCAAAGGACTGCACTGTTACATCCAATCGCTTCATCAACATCCGCCGACGGCACTCATATTCACAGGAAAGAGCATCATTGATTTTTTCCAGTTGTTCCTAAAGAATTTGGAAACAAATATCATCAATTTTAGGTTCTTTCATTTTGCAAAGAAAAAAAGTTTTAAAATTATGGTCAATACCTCCTACTGATTCAAAAAGATACTGTACTTGAGGACCATTTTCTGATCCCATGAGATTTTTCATTAAATTACACAAATAATAAAAAGTATTTAATAGAACATTTGTGATATTCAGAATATATTAAACATATAAGTTAAATTTTACAATTGGTGAATTTACCTCATCTTCAATCAAATGTGTTAAATAAGACATATACTTGTTAAGTAATAGAGACCAAAAAGGAAAGAAAATACAAATAATGTCCTATCTTGCTGGTTTTGAACTACTATCCTTTTCAAATCATAATTATACTAATATCCTGGGCACTATAAAAAAACTCTTGGCCAGATATTTTAAAAAGTAATAATCAGAGTGAAGAAGTGTTTGGACTAATCTGTATATATAAAATGTTAATAAGCAAAAAGACAAAATGGTGGAACAACTGAACAACCAGTTGCCATGACGTGTGCTGACCATCATGCGCACAGAACATGGCAGGCATTGGCACGGCGGGATAGTGGAGCAAGTGAGCGGGGGCACCAGACCAAGGTGGGGCTCCAGTCGCTGTCATCAGGGTGAGCCTCTGACGGTTACTGAAAATTCTTTGCTCCTGTACACCGCAGTCCCCCAGGCACTCACACCTGCTGCCGGCGCAGGCCTCACTTGTATCCGCTGCTGGTGCTGAAACCGCCTCTCACACCCACTGCCAGCTCTCGGCACCTCTCGGCACTGTCAGTGGGTGTGAGGAGCAGCTATTGGCCCTATCGCTCCTCAGAGCTTTTCCACCTCCCCCTGCTCCTGAGGGGCAATTGGGGCAGCAACCACCAATTACATCCACTGATGACGTTGGCCCCGCTCGCACCTGCTGCTGGTACTGGACCCAATCCCTCCGCTCCATCAGCAGGTGTGAGAGGGGCGGGAGGGAGCATGGCTGCTGGCAGACAGAACCAAGGGCTGTGGCGGGAGGAGCCGGGCAGAGCTGTGGAGGATGAGCCAAGATGCACCCCTGTTCCCACCAAGCTTTACAACCTACAGTTCCTTTTAAGGTGCATAAATTCATGCATTGGGCCTCTGGTTATTCTAAATACCAATTCATTTTAATTTTCCAAAATAACATATGCACACTACACACTGTAAACTCTAAATGCTTATTTTAAAATTAAGTCATATTCACTAGGTGAATTACACACAACTAATAAAATGCGGGTGATGGGGACTTACTGTTTGTTCCAGATTTAAATCCATTTTCAACAGTGGTTTTCCCACATGATTTTTCTGGACTTTTGAGAGAATATCTTTCACCTAAAAGTAAATATAAATAGATTGTGAAAATGTATATTCTCTAATTTAAAACAATTTTATTCTTTAATGCTATAGAATAAATATGTTAAAGTGAAATAACCTTAGCCTTAACCAGTTTGGCGCAGTGGATAGAGCATTAGTCTGCAGACCAAGGGTTCTGGGTTCGATTCCAGTTAAGGGCATGTACCTTAGTTGCAGGCTCCTCTCCAGTCTGGACCCTGGTCGAGGCTCTTGCAGGAGGCAACCAATCGATGTGTTTCTCTCACATCAATATTTTTCCTTGACTTTCCCTCTCTTCTCAACTCTCACTAAAAATAAATGAAAAATATCCTCGGGTAAGGATTAACAAAAACAAAAACAACAAACAAAATATAACATATTTTTACATACAAGGAAAGAATATCACTACAAAGCAGAATATCTTTTTTGCTTTCTTAATATATATGAAAGGAGGAGAGGCAGAAACATCAATGATGAGAGAGAATCACTGATTAGCTGCCTCCTGCACACCCCCTACTGGGAATTGAGCCAACAGGGCATGTGCTTTTGATCAGAATCAAATCTGGGCCTCTTCAGTCAGCAGGTGGATGGTCTATCCACTGAGCCAAACAATCTAAGGCCAGAATTTCTTTTTCAAAGAGCATTAGAGTTGGAGGCTTGGATTTTCTTCTTAAGATGACACTCTCTTAAATCCTGGAAAATGCTCTAAAAGGATACCTTTGACGAGCACATTGATTTTTCTCAGTAAAGTACTATGTACACATTCCAATTGTAAGTATTCTGGTTTCATTGTTCAGCAGGCCACCATAGGAGTCCAAGCCCACTCACTTATCGTCACCACATACAAATTTCATTATTTTTGCAAACACATAAAAATATGGAAATATTTCCTTTTGATAGATACTGAATGGAAAAGGAAGTCCTTTTACCAGTTAAGTAAATATTTAGCCACAATGACCCCAGTAACAACTACCTTATAATTAATTTGTCAGCATTTGAACAGAGGCATTATAGCCTGCCTTAAGGAGGGAAAAGAGGTTTGGGGAAATTATTAATACTAACTAGAACCCATAAAAGGAAAGGAAAAAGCTTTTAGAAAGAGGCCAGAAATCTGTTTCATTCTGAAACAGTCCCAAACATTTTAGCCAATACCAGATCATTCCTAATCCAGAGGAAATGAGGGGAAAAGAAACATTAAAGAGTAACTTGTTAACTCTAGAACAATGTTTTTGAGCTGGGATTTCCTTATTCTTTTAGCTGTGCTCAGCTGGTGTGGCTCAGGGGTTAAATGTTGACCCAGGAACCAAGAGGTCACTAGTTAGATTCCCACATGGTTTGCAAGTTCTACCTCTGCCCCCCAAAAAGTTTCTAATATTGCTTTCATCTTAATAATACTAAAATTCTCTCACATTCATTAAGGCAAATATTTTTTTTCAGTTCATAAAAAAAATCAATGCAAAAAAAAAACTTTATTCAAAGTTTTAGTTGAAAGCAGAATGTCTAAACATGGAGTGTCAGTACCTATTCTTAAGGGTGAGAATTTTCTTTTCCTTTAAAATAAACCATATAATATTCCCTTGCTCCTACAAAACCTAGAAAGTAGGTCAGAATTTAGTCTGTGAGAATAGAATTCTTTCTAACATATGGCTCAACTAAGAAAAAAGGTAATTTAATAATTGAAAATATCTCAAAAAGCTTGAAGTAGGTAGTTTGTGGTTATTTTCACTCCATCAGAATACTCATTCATTCGCTCTACAACAAACACTTACTAAATACTTATCCACCAGAAACTGTGCCATCAAAGAGAACTACATTGCAATTCTATTAACAATATCCACTAAAAAAATTTAATTTGCCTTTGACCTTAGAGGATAATTCTACTTGTTTCACTATGTTGTATTTCAACCTTGTTTAGGAAAGGAAGATTTAAATTTGCAAAGTGATTTCTATCATGCAACTTTCAAAAGCCTGAGGCGGATTAGGTCACATACATATTAACTCCAAATCCAAAGTTGTTTTCATGAAGATAAACTCTCTTGAAATGGAATGTATATCTTATATTTAAAGGAAATATTTTCATTTTTAATACATTTCCATATTAGCATTTAGTTGAATTTTAGAAAAATAAAAATAAAACAAAAATACCTTTGACTCCACTTGGTTTAACATAAGTGGAATGTCAGAAGTCGCTGAGTTGGGAACACCAAGGGTATCACAGATAGCTTGAACTTCCTGATAAATTTCACTGTTTTTATCTAATTGAGAATTTTTACGTTTCTTGTTTTGTAATATCTGTAAAGCTTGAAGTTCTGTACTTAAAAATACTGTAAGAAAAAGGAAAAACAAATAATGTTAAAATATACACAAACTCCTTAAAAATCACATTTCTGGGTATATATCCAAAGGAACGGAAATCAGGATCTCAAAGAGATATGCATTACCATGTTCACTGCCATATTGTTCACAATAACCAAGATATAAAAACAACCTATGTTCTTTGACAGATGAATGGGTAAAGAAAATGTGATATATACATACAAAGGAATGTTATTCGGCCATTAAAAAGAAGGAAACCCAGCCATTTCTAACAACATGGATGAGCCTGGAGACCACTGTGCAAAGTGAAAAAAGTCAGACACAGGAGTACAAATACTTCATGTCACTGTGATGAGAAACCTAAAACAGTCAAACTCATAATATAGAAAGTAGAATAATGGTTGCCAGAGGCAGGATGAAACAGAGTTATTAGTCAAATATAAATTTTTAAGAACTAATAATGTTTTAATGAATTTTTAAAATCAGAGGGACCTTGGCATAAGTCCCCATCAGCCAAATTGGATACATAGATCAGATTATATAACATTAAGTCCTAGAGATCCACTACTTTATAGCATTGTGGCTACAGTTAACAGCACTGTATTGTAATTTTTAAATACTTAAAAATTTGCTATGAGGATAGATCTTATACTGTATTCTTAACACACAAAATAATAATAATAAAGTGTGCCGAAACCGGTTTAGCTCAGCGGTAGAGCGTCGGTCTGCGTACTGAAAGGTCCCAAGTTCGATTCCGGTCAAGGGCATGTACATTGGTTGCGGGCACATCCCCGGTGGGGGGTGTGCAAGAGGCAGCTGGTCGATGTTTCTCCCTCATCTACGTTTCTAGCTCTCTATCTCTCTCCCTTCCTCTCTGTAAAAAATCAATAAAATATATTAAAATAATAATAACAATAATAGTAATAGCCAAAACCGGTTTGGCTCAATGGATAGAGCGTCGGCTTGGGGACTGGAAGGTCCCGGGTTCGATTCCGGTCAAGGGCATGTACCTTGGTTGTGGGCATATCCCCAGTAGGGGGTGTGCAAGAGGCAGCTGATCGATGACTCTCTCTCATTGATGTTTCTAACTCTCTATCTCTCTCCCTTCCTCTCTGTACAAAATCAATAAAATATATTTAAAATAATAATAATAATAATAATAATAATAAAGTGGAAGAAAACAAAAAGACTGTGCCTACCCATAGTTTAAAGTGCAATAGGAAAGACACACCTGTAAATCAATAATTTAAGAATGTATAAAAATGTGTAATATTCTGATAATATATTCTCTCTTTCATATGCACAGACTGCTCAAGCCAAGGGAGAACATATAACTCTAACTAATCTACAAGCAGATAGAGTAATCTGAGTAATTATTTGCCTTCAGGATAGACCACCCCTTTACTGTCACCATTTCATTTAAGTCTTTCAACAGACATATTTAAGAAAATTACTCAAAATTTTAAGATGGTTATATTTTAAATTAACTTTCACCACAGTTGTTAAAATATTAGGGTTCTGCTTGTTTTTATTTGTTTAAAGTTACACACACACACACACACACACACACACACACACACAGTTTAACACGGTAATTTCAACTTCAGCTAAGCAGAAGTCTCTGAGAAACTTTAAAAGTATATAGTAAGTGCCAGGATCCCATCCTCAAAGATTCTGAACACATCTGAAGTAGGAGTAGGACATCTGTGGTTTGTTTTACATCTAAGGTGATTTTCATGGGCAGACAAAATTGAGAGACACTGATTTAAAGACTTCTCCATGCAATCTACACATCAAACTGTCTAAAGAGAAAACAAAAACGTTAAGACTAATAAGTATTAAACTTTGCTTATGAAGATATGCCAAGATCCCTCTGATTTCAAAATTTCATAAAACAAATCACCAGTTCTTCAAAATTTGTATTCTTTCTAGAATCTTGGCTGAAGTCTGCCTTGTTCTATGGAAGCATGCTCTACGTAAAAGTATAAGCAAGAGTTCAATCTAGTATTTAAAATGCTAATCTATGCAGATGGTAAACAATACTGTAAAAGTCTTCCCACCACAGATCCTCAGATTTTCCTTTCCCTGAGGCAATCACCATTAGTTTCTTGGCTATCTTTTTAGATATATATGTGTATGTATATTTAGCATATGTATCTACCACCTAGGCTCTTTAATTTATTTTCTACAAGACATACTACAAATGTTCTGTATATTCAATTTTTATTTGCCAATATAACTTAGAGACCATTCCACATCAGCACATTTGATCTATTCTCATTCTTATAGCTATAAAACAGTAACATTGCAAAGATGTGTAACACTTCAAAGATATACCATCACTACTTAACTACTACAAACAATGCCATAGTGAACATCCTTTTCATATATCTTTGTACACTTGGGGAAATAAATATGTATATCTAATCATAAAATTGCTAAACCAAACGGCAGGTGAATTTCAATAGTATTAATAAACCCTTCCAGAGGCTGTACCAGTTATTCTCCCAACACATTCTAATGCCTATAGTATATGAGAATGCTTATGCCCCCAAACTTTATTATGACTTAAAAAAAACTTGAGGGTGGGGTGGGGAAGGTATTTGCTAGCTTAAAAAGTGTGTGTGTGGGGGGGGGGGGGAATGATACCTGTCATTTTATTTTTTTTTATAACTCTTTAACTTTGAGGGATATTATGCATCTTTTCATGTTTAACAGTGATTTAATTTTTTTTTTTTTTTTGTAGAATGCCTTTGATTTATGTGCATTATACATTTTTCCTTCTTGATTTACAAAAGTTCTCCACATAGTAAGGAATTTGGCCCTTTTTATTTTATACATGTTGCACACACTTCCAAGAAGATAAAGAGGTTCTTACATATGTTTTCACACAGTCAAACCAAAGATAAAAATGGAATAAATGCTGGTAAAATTGTGAACTGGTATAACCTTTCTGGAGCAAAATACGGCAATATATACTTAGACCAGAGATTTTTTTTAAAAATGTTCATAATCTAGCCCTAGCCCGTTTGGCTCAGTGGACAGAACATCAGCCCTCAGACTGAAGGGTTGAGGGTTCAATTCTAGTCAAGGGCACATACTGTGATTGCAGGCTCAATCCCCAGCCCGGGGCCAGGGCATATGCAGAAGGCAACTAATCAACGTGTCTCTCTTATATCAATGATTCTCTCACATTGTCTCACTCCTTCCACTCTCTAAAACATCAGTGGAAAAATATCCTCAGGTGAGGATTAACAAAAAGAAAGTTCACAAGCTAAGTAAAAGTAAGCCAAAATTATAAAGAAATTAATGTAAAATAAAAAAAAATAAAACACCCAAACTTGCCCTAACCAGTTTGGCTCAATGCATAGAGAGTCAGCCTGTGGACTCAAAGGTCCCAGGTTCAATTCAGGTCATGGGCATGTATCTTGGTTGCTGGCACATACCCAGTAGGGAGTATGCAGGAGGCAGCTGATGTTTCTCTCTCATCGATGTTTCTAACTCTCTATCCCTCTCCCTTCCTGTCTGTAAAAAAGTCAATAAAAACCTATTTAAAAAAACACCCAAATGTGAAACCTATTAAATAAATATATGTCCATAGCATAGAATGTTATGTAACCAATTTAATATTTTAAAAATATTAAATGATGGAGACATGCTCACAATATATTAATTGAAGAGGAAGAGGAGAAGGTACTATATCTGTAACAAGATCTCAATTTTATTTAAATATGGTGGACAAAGGAAAGAGAGAAGGGAAAAATAATATGCTAAAAGGTTAAGTCTCTCTGAGAAGTGAGATTATAAATGATTTTGTTCTTTACAATTTTATCTATTCTGTAAGATTTCTATAAGCAAGAAATTTCTTTATAACATCATAAAGTTTACCATTCTATTTTTTAAGTGTACAATGGCATCAAGTACATTCACACTGTTGTGCAACTATCATCACATCCATCTCCAGAACTTTTTCATCTTCCCCAGCTAAAACTCTGTACCCATTTAACACTAACTCTTCAACTTAACCCTATCCCCAAGCATGTATTTTCACAATCAGAAAAGCTATACCAACTTCTCCTATATCTCCTCTTTAATTTTACTTGCACCAGAAGCCTATCTTACCATTACTGCTGAGCTTCTTCACAGTTAAGGCAAAAAGGGAAATATGATGAATTCCATAGTTCTCACTGACTGGCATAAAGAACATTCAAGTTCCTCTAGGCCAGTGTTTACCCAACTTTTGACATATGTGTATCCCTTCTAAAATTTCGTAATGCTGAGTACCCCTAGTACTCATGAGAATGTAGAATAGGCGAAGCTAAGCACGGTGCAGTGCATATCCCCACCAAACTCTTCCCTGGGGGTATGCGTACCACACTTTGGGAAACACTGCTCTAGGCCATACTTCTTAGCTTCCTTTCTATTCCAATAAACCTAAGGGATACTATGACCTCCCATTAATAGCAATGGTTCATTAAGTTAGTGACTCACACTGAATAAAAGGAAGATGGGAAAATAGTATAAGAAATGAGGGGGAAGACATAATATTTATTCCACCCAACACACAACGTAATTCAAATGTCAACACTTCCAGCCTCATCACTAGTTAAACACACACACAATTCCTGCTCTAGTGCAACGAACATCACTAACACTAGAGTCTACAAGGAATATATCACAGGGATCTTTTTATAAATGGTACAACCTAAAACAATAGAAATCTTCAATAACAGATGTCAGAGAAATTCTTTCAAATGGTCACTGTTTGCAGAACTTTCAAAAGAGCATAAAATTTAACTGAACTAAAAAAGTTTTGAAGGAACCTAGTGCAAATAAATGGATTTTTATTAATGGTAGTTGTTTGGATATAGAGTAATTTTACTCTATATCCAACTAAGAAAAGAGGTCAGGTTGATTAGAGCATCATTCTACTCCAAGGTTGTGGATTCAATCTCCAGTCAAGGCACATACAAGAATTAACTAAAGAATGTGTAGATAAGTAGAACAACAAATTGATATCTCCCGGCCCCCCTTATTCTCTTTCTCAAGATCAATAAATAAAAATCTTAAAAAATAAAAAAAGGCCACACTCAGTAGAACTCTTGTGGTCCAAGGGTGCTATTTTTTTTTTTTAATTGATATATCCCTATGCCAAGAGTAGTTTCTGGTACAATAGTAAGTGATCAATACATATTTCTGAACCTACCATTATCACTCAAAGACTATCACTAAAGCAAGATCTAATAATCTGCTTAGTAGCCTAGTTTCAAAGAATTTTATGATTTAATAGAATTTTAGAGATCAAAAACTTTAGCCACCTAGACATAAATGCTAAGAGATTCATTAATTGAAAGGAAAAAAATTATTAAAATACTATATAAATCACAAACAGTTCAAATAAATCATAAGTGTTAGAAGTCTTACACTAGTAGAATTCCTTAGTAGAATGTATACTACCTTTATATAAATATCCAAGTCAACTTCATATTTTAAGTCAAATATTAATACCTTTTAAATAGATAAGATATCTAATGCTTCATTAATAAAATTTCATAAATTTTGACTTAAAAAATTTAAAACAAAGATCAAATACATGCATTTAAATGTTCAAAGAAAGAACTTACATAGAAGTTTCAAGCAGTCATCCTTCTTTTTTAGACGCTCTTTAATATCTCCTGATATGAGTACAGAATATGGACATGCCATTTCTTTTAAAAAACCACTTATCTCAAGCTGGAAGCTTTCTAGATCATCTCTCCCTTTAAAAAAGTAAAATCACAAAACATTTACTGAATATTTACCATATAATCTATACATTCATTTCAATTTCACATTCAATTCTAAATTTTCCTTTTAACATTAAATCCTTACATGTGTGACTCAAAATAATTTCTACATTTAGAAAGTCACACTTAAATTCAGAAATGTAAGTATCAATTTAAGAATATAAATATGTAGCCGAAACCGGTTTGGCTCAGTGGTAGAGCGTCGGTCTGCGGACTGAAAGGTCCCGGGTTCGATTCTGGTCAAGGGCATGTACATTGGTTGCGGGCACATCCCCAGTAGGGGGTGTGCAAGAGGCAGCTGGTCGATGTTTCTCTCTCATCGACGTTTCTAGCTCTCTATCCCCCTCTCCTCCTCTCTGTAAAAAATCAATAAAATATATTAAAAAAAAGAAATATGTAATTGTAAGATTATAAATATCTTTATATTTAAATGTGATTAGTATTTTCCAATATATGTTCCAAAAGCAGATAAAATAGGAATATTTTGTATGAGTAATAAAAATATTAAAAGCATTATTATGACTGTAATTATTAACTGGCTTCAGAGCAAATGATATTTCTATGGATTCAGATCATAAATGCAGATTTAACTAAGCCTCACTGCTTATCTTTCTTTCATAACCTAATTATATGGGAGTCTGTGTCATGTGATTTGAAGTTACTTTATCTTACTTAGTTTCAAAGAAATTCTATTAGATTTGGCAAGGGGAAAAAAAAGCAATATAAAAAGACAGCTTCAAAAGGGAAGTCTACTTTGTCCCCTAGCAAATGTCCAATATTTTATTTTTTATTTTTATTACACCATCTGAAATTCTACCAGACCCATAATGACTCCAATTATCAATACATGCGTTATTTTATGAACAGCAATGCGTTAAATTTTATGAACAAGTACAGGAATCCTATATAATAAAGAGGTGATATGCAAATTAATCCTCATGCCCTCACAAGATAGCTGCCTACGACCAGGCCGGCAGGGAAGTTAGTGAGGGACAATCAAATGATGAAAAGCAGGTTGTGTGGGGAGACCAGGTTGGTGGGAGGAGGAGGGGAATCCATGAGGGGCAACCAAGCCAGTGGGAGGAGCAATTGGGGGCAATCAGGCCAGCAGGGGGTGACCAGGCCAGCAGGGGAGAGCAATTGGGGGTAATTGTAATCAGGCTGGCAGGGGGGGCAGTGAGGGGCAACTAGGCCAGCGGATGAGGCAGTTGGGGGCAACCTGGCCAGCAGCAAGGGGCAGTTAGGGACGACCAGGAAGGCAGGCAGGTGAGTGATTAGGAGTCAGTGATCCAGGATTCTGAGAGGGATATCCGACTGCTGGCAGTCAGACATCCCATAAGGGGTTCAAATTGGGGAGGGTGCAGGTTGGGCTGAGGCGACAATCCCCCACTTGCACAAATTTCATACACCGGGCCTCTAGTATTTTATAAAAGCATTCCTATGTGAATCCAGATCTTAAATTAGGGATTACCTGTACTTAAAAAAAAAAACACACAAAAAAAAAACACAACAAAATCCCATCTTAATTCAAAAAAGCAGCATTCAAAAATTAAACTTCTTAAATAACCAAATTCAGTCTATTTTTTCTTAAAAATATTAAGGTTAAGAAATCAGATAAACAGAAATTGTTTATAATCTTATACAAATTTTAAAAATGAATTTTGGATTAATATAACATTTAATCCAAAGATATCTAATACAATATACTGAAGTTCTTAATGTTTTTTCTTTGTATAGATTTTCCTTTTCCTAGATAAAACTGTAAATCATAAGCTATCATTTCATTATTAAACAAAAAAGTAAATAAAACACAATGGCAATACCAGCTGAAGTGATACTTTCTTCCAAGTTGCATAGTGATTTTATTTGAGAGCCTAACCAAACACAGAGGTCTGAAAACTCAGGTGAAGATAGTCCACCCTCAGCTGCCTTGGTAAGGGCTTGCTCTTCTAACAGTGGTCCCTTATACCTAGAAAGAAAGAGACATAAAAGGTTAAAAATTAACAAAAACCTCATATTTGGTATCATAGTCTACTGCCTGTTTTTGTAAATAAAGTTTTATCAGAGTACATCTGATAAATGTATCCATTTACAGACTATCTCTGGCTGCTTTCACACTGCAATGGCAGAGTCCAGTCATTGTGACAGAGATAGCATGGCCACCAAAGCCTAAAATTTCTACTATCTGCTCTGTTATAAAAATGGTTTACTGATTTGTGCTCTATCTAATTAACATTTGGCTTTTTCCCTATATTTTAACATCTTTTAGTAAAATTATCAACCAATTTTAAGAGAAATATTACATATAATAAAGTCAAATAGAGCTAAATCTAATAATTATCCTGGTTACAAGAATAAGAAAAAAGGAAGTAGTGACAAAACAGATGCAAATTTTAAATTTAAAAAATTAAAGTTGAAAAAGACCTATGAGATCATTTTAATCTAAACCATTTTTTTTTTTTACTAGAGGTCCAGTGCACAGATTCATGCACTGGGGAGCATGGCATGTAGGGATGGATCGGCTCCCTGGGTCATCCTGGTCAGCTGAGCAGTGAGCATATGACCCCTAGTGGTCAGTGCACATCATAGCAACTGGTTGACAAGTTGTTCTGGGTGTTCTGCCGTTCAGTCACTGGGCTTTTATAGATACTTTCAAATACTGCTACAAAGTATACTTGAATAGTACCTTAAATTTTTTAACCATCTTATAAATTATCTTAATTGAATTAGGTATCAGTTTTCTACTTTATTCCTCTTTCTGCAATTGAGCTTTTATTTCACATTATAAGCATATTTGATGGGTTTTAATCCACTGTAGTTATTTTTCTCTCCAAACAGTCCTATCTTTGTTTACTGAGAGGCCATTCTTGTTTGATTTATCCCCAGTATTCTTTGAATACTTTCCTTGATTTCTTTGACAAGGTGTTCTTGTCCTGTACTTGTAATTGGCCCTGATTCTTTTTCATGGTATTTAGAGTACACAACTTGGTACTAAAGGTTAGTCACTGTGTCTGAAGCTTTCTTAAAGAACTTATATCAGGATTTCACATTGCTATTTCCAATTCAAACTTATAATTGTGGGTATTTTACCTAATTTGTTTTGTATTTTTACCTATTTTCTATAAAATTGTGTTTCTTTTACTATTTTTATCTATTTTCAATTTAAAAAAATACAGTTTCTAATGACATTTATATAATCCTATGAAAAATATTAAATTACATATAGTTTCAGAGTAGAAAAATCAGCATTTTTACTAACAACAAAATCACTGAAAACAATTTATGTTTTTATGTTTTAGAATGTATTCCAGTAAGGACATATTTTTTTAAATTCCTATCTATGATTAAACCACCTACTCAACATATTGACAGACCTTTGTTTCATTTGCTTTAAAATTCAGAAATTTGTCTCATTTTGTCCTGATTTCATTTTTAATTTTGCTCTATAATTATGTAATTATATGGTTTCAAAGTCTAGTTTATAAAACAAGGTACATTCAGACAAATCTACTTAGCAATCTCAATTGTGTTCCCTCTACTCTAGTTCCTTCCCTCCCCCAAAGGTAACCATATTTATTAGTTTTGGGATGTCATTCCACAATGTTTTTAAAAACAAACATAAATATACTTTTCCTTTTTTTCTTTTAGATAAAAGGTAGCCTACTACATATTGTCCTATTCCATGCTTTAAACACATATATATTCACATACACATATTTGCATACCAGTGGCCCAGGGCACGAAATTCATGCATGGGGGGGAGAGGGAGGAGTGTTCCTCAGCCCGGCCTGCACCCTCTCCAATCTGGGACCCCCTCAAAGGATGTCCTACTGCCGGTTTACAGGGATAGGGCCTAAGCTGGCAGTCGGACAACCCTCTCGCAATCCGAGACTGCTGGCTCCTAACCGCTCACCTGCCTGATTGCCCTAACTACTCTGCCTGCCAGCCTGCTTGTCCTCAACTGCCCCTGCCACCAGCCTGCTCGCCCCCAACTGGCTTCCATGCTGGCCTGCTCATTCCCAACTGCCCCCACTGCTGGCCTGCTCGCCCCACTTTCCCTCCCCACTGGTCTGCTTATCCCCAACTACCCTCTGCTGGCCTGCTCACTCCAAACTGTCCCCCCCCCCCCCCCACACACACACACACACTGTCCTGATCACCTCCAACTGACTCCCACTTATGGCCTGCTCACCCCCAACTGGCCTCCCTACTGGTCTCCTTACCTCTAATGGCCCCACCCCCCACCAGCCTGATCACCCACAACTGCCCTCCCATCCTGGCCTGATCATCCACAACCGCCCTCCCCTCTTGGCCTCTACCTGCCTCTACCTCAGCCCCACCACCATGGCTTTGTCCAGACGAACATCCACAAGATCTCCTGGAAGGTCTCCCAGTCTAATTAGCATATTATCCTTTTATTAGTATAGATACTAGAGATCAATAGAAATACTACTCAATCATTTTTATTGTCATATAGTACCTCTGTCTGGATGCACCCTATTTTATTCACTATGCCCTTACTGAAGAACATTTGGATTAGTACATTGTTTTCCTATTATAAAAACTGGCAGATTTTTGTCAGCATATATTTGGGATAGATTCCTGGAATTAGGACTGTTAGGTCAAAGAGTAAATGGATATGTAATTTTGCAGGATAGTAATATATTTTCCTCTATAGAGGTTGTATAAGTACCCATTCCTCATAATTCACCATAGTTAATTTGGATTTTTGACTATCTGGTATCTCAGTATAGTTTTAATTTGCATTTCTCTTATGAGCAAGGCTGTACATCTTTTCACATGTTTATAGGCCATTTGCATTTCTTTTTCTATGAATTCTCTAGTGGTATCTCATAAAGTATATTTTCAAACCTCCATTTTACAGGTAAGAAATTAACGGTTAATGAGGTTAGTATTCCTACTTTATAAGTACTAGGCCAGACACAGTGCTAGTCATATATATATGAATATATATATGAATATATATTCATATTTATAAATATATTTATTTATAATTCATTTAATGTTTACAACAATAATTTAAATTAGTATTATCCTAATCCTGGGTCATAAAGTAACTAGATGATGACATAATATAATTTAAACCCAAATATGACCCCAAATGTTCCATGTGAACTATAAACTGCTGGCTACACTAATAAGGAAACTAAGCCAATAACCTAGCTAAGTTATGCAGCTGGGTAAAGGCAGAGCTGGGAATAGACCACTGTCTTTGCTCCTTTAGCCAAGACTGGTTCCTCTATGCAATTACCTTTCTTCCATGTCTTACAGTGCCTCTCATTGAGATTTAATTCATAAACATCTTTATTTCCCCCTACTTGCTTGCATTTCTGCAATAATCATAAACTCTTGAATAAATGTATGTAATTCATATAGTTGGTGATATTTTAACTCAAATGCCAACCATAATTCAACAAACTGATTAAATCACCAGAAATAAAGAATTTAGAGGGAGAAAACCTCACAATCCTTAATGCCTCTGGGTTCATCAGATCGATATAAAGGAAAAGGAAAAAAATGCATTTACAAACCTAACATCTAATAACAATCACAATGCAACTAAAATTTATAAACAGCTCTTACGGTGGTAGGCCAGTGTTACGTGCGTTATGTATATGGCCTCATTTAATTGACATAATGTCCTAAAAGGTATTATTATTATTATTATTATTATTATGCTCTTAGTTTGTTCTATATATTCTTTTTTTAATGTCTTCTTTTTTATAATATATTTTATTGATTTTTTACAGTGAGGAAGGGAGAGAGATAGAGAGTTAGAAACATCAATGAGAGAGTCATCGATCAGCTGCCTCTTGCACACCCCCCATTGGGGATATGCCCGCAACCAAGGTACATGCCCTTGACCAGAATTGAACCCGGGACCTTTCAGCCCCCAAGCCGACACTCTATCCATTGAGCCAAACAGGTCTCAGCTGTTCTATATATTCTTATTTAATTAGGAAAGTGCTACTCTTATTCCAAACATTGCAGAAACCTCCCCTAGGCCCAGACTCCCCCAAAAGTCCCCCATACAATGGAACCATAGCTGCTGGTCTGACACTTGAGACTGGCTGATCCAATCTTCAATCTGTGGAAAACCTCCACAAAGACACAGCCAGATTCTACCTTACTTTGCTTTCTATTTGAATTAGGCAGTATACTAGCATAAAACATGAGATCCTTTCCCCTGTCATCTGCCCAACCTATTGGCTTGCTTCCGATCCAGCTCTCTACTTCTCCCTGCTTCCCAAGTTCTTCCGCTGTGTTCCATCCATAAACAGCAACTGTCCTATGCTGTCAATCCCTTTCAGAAAGATTACCCCAACCACCTCTAGCTTTGGCTAGTTTACTCTCTCAATCAGATGGCAAGGTCTGTCCTCTTTGCTTTCCAATATAACATCTGTATCATTGCTCCTTCATATTCGTAAAAATATCTCCTGCTCTCTCCAGACTCAAGCCAGTCAGATTCGTCACCCTCTTTCTCTTGTAATTTTCGTCTACCAATCTCTTAGGTACTCCCCAACATTCCCTGTGCTCACTTTTCCTTTCCATTACTTTTTTTTTTTTTCATTATATTAAGTTTCTTCAAAGCCCATATGTATACCCTCTCCATTACCCTGAGCTCTCAATTCTCTTAACTTCCTCTTTTCCATCCTTTGCCACTACATCCTAGACCTTACTATCACCTGGAACTACTCCACCTTGGAAATCATTAATTCAAATATGTCACTTCCTGACCACAACCTACTATCTTTTCAGCTTGCTCTTTTGACCAGGCACCTACAACTACTCTTTTATATCACCTCTACCTCCACATTCTGTGCATTTACTAGCTCCATGCTATCTTCACTTTCTTCCCTATTCAATTTAGATTCCAATATATACTTCATTGTGGTGCTAAATAAATACCTATTGCAGAAATGAATCCTTGATATCATCATCTCCTCCAGCTCTAATATCCAATCAATCTCTAAGCCCTATAAATGCACTTCTTTCTATATCCATTGCCACTAAGAAACCATCGCTTCCTGCCTAGACTGACTAAATCCTCCAATCCACTCTCCACCTTCCTGACAGAGGTAACTTTTCAAACTAGATATCTAATCACTCCCTTTTTTAAAATCCTTCAATCATAAAAATGGCGGCATAGGTAAGCACAGTACTCGTCTCCTTCCACAACTACATCAAAATTACAACTAAGCTACATAACAACCATCGTTCAGAACCGCTGAATGGAATCTGGCTGAACAGAAGTTGTACAACCAGAGGATTAAAGAAGAAGCCACAGTGAGACTGTGAGGGGGACGGACAGGGGGAGGGCTCCTACACAGGAACTCTTCTGGAAGGAGAAGAGAGGGAGCAAGAAATTGAAAACCTATATGAATAAATAATGACAGAAAATTTCCCTTACCTGGTGAAAGAAATAGATATATAAGTTCAAAAGCACAGAGTCCCAATTAAGATGAACCCAAAGAGGCCTATACCAAGATACATCATAATTAAAATGCCAAAGGTTTAAGGTAAAGGGAGACTCTTAAAAGCAAGAGGAAAGCAGTTATTACCTATAAGAGAATACCTATATGACTGAGCTGATTTCTCAACAGAAACTTTGCAGGCAAGGAGTTAGCAAGAAATACTCAAAGTGATGAATAGCAAGGACCTACAACGAAGATTATTACTCTACCCAGCAACACTATCATTTAGTACTGAAGGTCAGATAAAGAGCTTCACAGACAAGGAAAAACTAAAGGAATTCATATCACCAAACCAGTATTACATGAAATGATGAAGGATATTCTTTAAGAAGGAGGGAGGAGGAGAAAGGAAAAAAAGGAAAGAAAATGGAGGAGAAAAGGGGAGGTGGAGGAAGAGGATAAAAAATATGACAGTAAAATGGCAATAAATATTAAAAAAATGAACAAGGAATCTAGTGTGAACAAAATAAACTGATGAATAAAATAAAACCAGAGGCATAGAAATATGCTTATTCTGCATCCCAAAAAAAGATCATGATTCACTCAGTTGATAGCATATACGAGACCGGAACATTTTTTCACAAGCTCCATACATGATTATGATGCACAATCAGGGTTGAGATCCACTGTTCTATAAAATCAGACTCTCAGAATTGAAAGAGACTTCTGAAATCTCTGCTCCTTTCACAGATGAGAAAACTAAGTAATTTTTACCCTATCATTTATAACAGACCATATCACTAAACTGTTCTTTCACATAGATGTCCACTTTTAATTCCTCCCTTTAGTCACCTGACAAACTAAAGTACCTTCATGATATCTCATGTTTCAATCACAATAGAAAATTACTTACAATCTACAAAAATAGTATTTTAACTGTTCAAGTATAACACCTATTCAATTATAACAGATATTGTAAGTATACAACTAGAGGCCCAGTGCACGAAATTTGTGCACTGGAGGGGGTGGTCCCTCAGCCCAGCCTGTGCCCTCTCGCAGTCCAGGAGCCCTGAGGGGGGCAGGGGGAAGATATCTGACTGCAGCAGAGGCAGGAGAGGCTTCTGTCACCACAGCTGGGCTCGCCAGCTGTGAGCCCCACTACTGGTTGAGCAGCGCTCCCCCTGTGGAAGCACACTGACCACCAGGGGGCAGCTCCTGCATTGAGCAACTGCCTCCTGGTGGTCAGTGTGCATCATAGTGACCAGTTATTCCACCATTCATTTGATTTGCCTATTAGCCTTTTATTACATAGGATAGTACTTTTTTTTTCTACTTTTCATCATCATTATAGGAAACATCAAATTCTTTTTTTTTTTTTAAATATATTTTATTGATTTTGTACAGAGAGGAAGGGAGAGAGATAGAGAGCTAGAAACGTCGATGAGAGAGAGTCATCGATCAGCTGCCTCTTGCACATCCCCTATTGGGGATGTGCCTGCAACCAAGGTACATGCCCTTGACCGGAATCAAACCCGGGACCCTTCAGTCCCCAAGCCAACGCTCTATCCATTGAGCCAAACCGGTCTCGGCGGAAACATCAAATTCTTATCCTCAGTTATTTCAGGAAAAATCAACTCTAAAGTATGTAATTTTTACTTTCTATATTGAATACTCTGAAACTAATTTTCCTTAATAAAAGTCAAAGTTATACCAAATTTCATTTTTCAAGCACCTATAATATAAACAAATTCAAGCAATAAAGAAAGCAAAAAGGAGACTGACTTTACCTTTTTCTTTTCTTTTTTTTTTTAAATATATTTTATTGATTTTTCACAGAGAGAAAGAGAGAGGGATAGAGAATAGAGAGTTAGAAACATCGATGAGAGAGAATCATCGACTAGCTGCCTCTTGCACACTCCCCATTGGGGATGTGCCTGCAACCAAGGTACATGCCCTTGCCCGGAATCGAACCCGGGACCTTTCAGTCCGCAGGCTGACGCTCTATCCACTGAGCCAAACCGGTGCTGGCTGACTTTACCTTTTTCATAAACTACAGAATCCCACTTATTCTTATCTGGAAAACTTAGGAGCTTTAACATTTGAGGCCTAAACACTTCAACACTTCAACACTTCAATTAAGTATTTTAACTTCTTGTTCTGGTTACTTCCTTAACCAAACTAAGTGAAAATTTCCAAGGGATTTCACAGAAGAAAAAGAAAGGGAAAAAAAAGTCCCTAAATAATCAGTGGCTCTCTTCTTTCATTTGGCAAACATTTACTCAGGACCTACTAAGTGCAGGACTTTGTAACTCTGGGTCACTTGCAAAGTTGGTGCTAATCAGGGTCCAAAAGCAACCCATAGAGGATCAAGTGCAGCTTCAGGAAAAGAGAAAGGGAGTAGGGGGTTCAAGCTTCACAATAGCACCTCAAAGACACAGTCAGATCATTCAAGAAACTCCCCGCATGTAGGATGGCAAACAATTGTGCAGAAGGCTCCATTCTCTTTAACGTGCTTTTTTTTTTTTTTTTTTACTCTAAACTACCTGCTCCTATGCGTACCTCTGTGCACGCTCTTCTTTGAACTTTTCTTCATTCATTCACCCATTCATTCACCCACGATGTACTGTGCCAGACACCACTAAGGATAAGACTGGCAATAAGACCAGAAAAGCACCTGTTTTCCTAGAGCTGACTGGGATAAGGGTGCATTCCAGATACAATATGCAGATCAAGATAAATTGTGAAAAGAATAACGGCTATGAAGAAAAGCAAGCTAAGTCTGAGGCAGAGGCTGAGGGAGAGGCTATGCTGTATAGATACTGCTCCCCAGGCCTGGAAGCGTTAGGACCATCCCCGGAGTTCCCACAGCACCGCTTAGTACCACTCTGGACAGTAAATGCCACACTCTGTGGAGCCCCCACGACTATGAAAACTAGCAGTAATCTGAAACTGGCTCTTCCTCCGCCTAGCACCTAAAGAAGAACACAGTAACAGGAAATAAATATGCTGTGAACGAACGGTGGCAGAATGAATGGACTGAACCAAAACATTTTCCACCGTCAGGGAAGCTGGAGAGATGCGCCCCCGAGCCCGACTGAAGCCATAGGTGAGCCCTAATTAGGCACCGGTCGCACCTCAGGAGAACCAGCACCTCCCACCCACCCCGGGCTCCGCAGCAGCGGAGACAACAACGTCCCCGCGGGCTGGGGGGCGCGTCCCCGGAGGGCTGAGGCCGGCCGGGCCCCTAATGCCGGCCGAGGCGTTCCAGGCCAGGAGTTTGGAAGAGGGGCCACGCGCCCCGGCTCCCCAGCCACACTCCACCCCCAGGCCCCAAACGGACTTCTTTCCCGCCTCCCGCTTAACTCCGTCGGCGCCGGAGGGGGAGAGGCGGGAAGGAGGCCTGCCCCGAGCTGCTGGAGCAGCACAGGCCCAGGGGCGGGGGCTGCTGCAGCCCGGCCGCGGGAGAGCTTACGTTTTCGGGGTTAAGACGTTCCTAGGAATACGCACCCCAGCGCCTCTAGTGTGTCCAGAACGTCCCCTTCCATCGTGGGTTCGGGACCCGGCTCGGGCCCTCTCATGGTCCTCCGGGCAAAAGCTGTCCGCCGCTCTAAGGAGCCCGCCGGAAACCGGCGTCACCGCGCCAAGGTTCCGGGCGGGATCTTGGCTAGGATTGCCTCGAGTGCCTCTGACTGGGAGCTCAAAGGTTCCCGGCCTGGAGGCAGTCTGTGCTCAGAAGGCTTTATTTAAAATAATAATAGAAATAGTAATAAAAAGCGTTAGTTCTTACGTGTGGAAGTCAATCTTAGCAAACATCGCGATTCTACCCGAGTTTTTCTCAACCTATCAGACTCCAGCCCTCTCTTTTTATAACAAAAATACCTAAATAGAATAGTTAACTTGAGCTAAAATTAGTACGTAATATGTATCCACACATATAATTTTTACATCAATATACACGGCAATGCTCCAAGTTTAAGAAATAAGGGGCTGCTAATTTATACTTATTTTGTTTCATTGCAAAATGTGCAAGATTGATGAAACTATCAGACGTTTGCATCTATCTACAGAATCTTATACACAATATGTATCCTATTGCTGAAAAAGTATAGGTGAATTGTATAAGAGACATCAAAAAAATTTGCATGTCACCATATTAGAGTATTCACTAAAGGAATAATCAAATGTAAAACTTATAACTAACAATAAGAGAAAGGGAAAACAGAATAATGAAAAAAAACACATAAGACTAAATCTAAAAACTAAAAACAGGGGAAAAAAGAAAATAAGTTTAACCATAAGACAGTAGGTAGAAATATTAACATCAGGGAAAAAAAGCTGCTAATGCAGGAAATATCAGAGAAACATGAAGAGGGACACTTCATAATAACAATAAAAGTATCAAGACCACAAGAGGCTATAACAATCCTAAATGTTTATTTCTTTAAGTAACCAGTCTCAAAATATAACCAAATGAACTTAAAGGAGAAATACTTAAAGGTGAAACATTCTGTGAACTCTCAGTAATATGTATTGTAATAACTATGTACGGTGTCAGATGGATACTGGACTTATTGGGGTGATCTCTTAAGTTACATAAACATCTAATCATTATGTTGTACATCTGAAACTAATATATTGTATGCCAACTGGAATTGGAAGATTAAAAATTTTATAAAGTAAATTAATTGTAAAGTAATTTTAGAAAACATATGATCAGAAAACATCCTCTAAGGACCAATTTAGGGTAAAGATTAAACATACAGGCTTCTTCCTCCCGTGACTGTTAAAATTGAATTGGCCACAGACTACCAAGAACAAACTGATAGTCTGACAAAATCAGATGTGATGATTTTCAGTGAAGGAGCACACTGCAGAGGAATTGTATTAGTCAAGAGTCTTGAGAGAAATAGAAGCAACAGGATATAGATGAGATTTATTATATAGAATTGTCTCATGCACTTATGGAGGGCAAGTGCCAAAATCTGCTGGCTGTGAACTGAAGAACCAGGAAAGCTGGTGGTATAATTTAGTTAGAGTCTGAAATGCAACAACCAGGAGCTCCAGTGTCTGAGGGCAGAAGATGGATGTCCCAGCTCAAGAGTGAATTTGCACCCTAGCTGGTTTGGCTCAATTTGTTGGAGAGTCATTCCATACCTGGAGATGTTTCTATCTCTTTCTCTTCTCTTTTCTCTAAAAAAATCAATGAACATGTCCTCAGGTGAGGATAAAAATAAAATGAGAGAAAGAAAGAGAATGTGCCCTTCTCTCACCTTTTTGTTCTGTTTGGGCCCTCAACAGACTAAATGATGCCCGCAAACATTGTTGATGTCTACCTTTACTTGCTCTACTGACTCAACTGGTAATATTTCTGGAAATATCCTCACAAACACACTGAGAAATAAAGTTTTGCCAACTATCTGGGCATTCATTAGCACAGTCAAGATGATACATAATTTAAACATCACAGGAGCTGTGGCATGCCACTCAACAAGAAAGAGAAAGAAACATCTTGAGTAAGGTTTGGATCCTACTGAAGGATTCTAGAATGTGGCCATCAATTATGGATTGGTTGCTGCTTCTGAAGTAGAATTAAAAATGGGAATCAATGAGGGATTAGGTGCTTAAAAGATACTCTTGACTAATGCAATCCTATTAACATTTACTAAGGTTCTATAAACTAGACTGGTCTCTAGACACTTTTTCACCTGAACTCCAAAGATAAGTTTACAGAGTCTTTCCCTCTCTCTCTCTTCTCTCTCTCTCTCTCTGTGTGTGTGTGTGTCTGTGAACATGCATGCATAATTATGTGGATGGGGAAGGGTGCATCTCATAGTACATGCAATTGGTGTTGAATAATTATTCAAATCTACATACTCTGGATATTTATAGGAGATTATAAGCTCAAGTAACTAATAAATAAAGCACACATATTGTACAAGGTGCTGAATTATACCCTGAGAATAAAATCATGATCCAATATCATCCATGTTTTCAAAGATATGGTTACACAGCAAATCATAGTCAAAGCAAAATGTAATGTGGGCAGTGAGCCCGCATAGCACTTCAGAAGGAGGGGAAACACTTGCAGTCTGGCAGAGGTGGAAAGAACTCCTATCAAGCACAGAGTGGGAGCTGGGCTTTGACTGAAGAGTAAGATTTAAATGTAAGTGTGAAAGAAGACATTTTTAAGGGATTTAGATGAAGGTGTAGAAAACAATTTAAGAAAGGGTCACTAGAACAGTTTGGGTCAGGAGAAAAGCTCCTGAAGAGAGGAAAATAATATGTTTGGAAATGTAAGTTCAGATCAATCTGCTGAGACCCTGAGGATTAATGTCTTATTTGGTAGGAACTGGAAAACCATTGTAGATCTCTGATTAAAGCAAAATCAAGACAAGTGTGTATTTAGAAAAATGTACTTCATAATTCAATGCTTTTTACTGGGAGAGAGAATGGAGACCTTCTGGATGCTGCTGTCTAGAGATAAGGTAATAAAGGCATGAATGAACCTTGGGGCAGAAGGAATGAAAGGGCAGGGGCAGCCAGTGTATTTACTGAAAGAGAGAAATAGACATCTCACCACTGATGAAATGCAAGTGAATGGAAGAAAAAAGAACCATAGAAAAGGCCATATTTTTTTTAAACTAAAGAATCCTTGGAGAATACATAACCGAGATCCATTTTACTGGTGAGCAGAATTCCAGGGAGACTGAGTACCTTGTCCCACGTCACACATCTGGTCACTACTAGAGCTGAGGATCTGCCATGAAGCCCAAGCCTGTCCCATGCTCAGCCTCCTGTGTGTAGGTGAAGACCTGGTAATCAATAAAGATGGTCATAGGATAGAGCAGTGGTCTGCAAACTCATTAGTCAACAGAGCCAAATATCAACAGTACAATGATTGAAATTTCTTTTGAGAGCCAAATTTTTTAAACTTAAACTTCTTCTAATGCCACTTCTTCAAAATAGACTCGCCCAGGCCATCGTATTTTGTGGAAGAGCCACACTCAAGAGGCCAAAGAGCTGCATGTGGCTCACGAGCCGCAGTTTGCCAACCACTGGGATAGAGTAATGGAGAAGACTGACAACACCCCAGAGCATGGCAGTGTGGATAATAGTCAAAGAAAAACTAAAAGTGGATGAGATAATGGGCCAGGGAGGAGAAGAGGGTGGAGGAGGTTATATCTATCTAACTATTCCAACCACATCTCCAGAATAAAAGCATAAAAATATTAGGGAATAGATCCTAATCCCTAGAAGAAAAGGGATTACAAAAATCTGAGAGCTGATAGGAGTAGGCCTTCTGAGAGATTTGCTTGAAGCAAATACATTCATACCATTTGAAGCTGATTAAGCTCAGAGAGAGGAATCTAGGGGCTACCATTAAGTTTGAGCCATCAACTTTCCTTCTAGCTTGTTCACCAGGAAGGGTCAGGAGTAAAAATTCCATGCCAGGGCCAATGTCTGGCAACAAGGACCATGTCTAGCACATCATGGGCTTTATGTTCCAAGAAACAATGAAGAAGTAAAGGTGAAGACAGTAATGAGAGTCCTCTAACAGGCAGCCTGCTGGGCTTCTGATTCCTGCCAACGAGAAGGATGGTGAGGTTAACAGAACTGGGAATTCTCCACTGGGCAAGGCAGGATAAAATGAAACACAGATTTATAAAGGCCCCCTCAGAGTCCTAGTCCCCCTGTAGTGGAGGGAGGAGGCAGCTAATCCCCAGTACCTTTACCTACCACACCACCACCAACTAGAGCAATTCTAGTTTATCTTCCCCTTGTCCTCACAGCTCACAGATCAAGCTAGCACATTTCAAAACAAAAATGTCTAACTTAAACATTGTTTGAGAACTATTACTGCAAGGCATCATCCCAGCTGCATTCCACTCCCTGCTTTTTGGTGTTATTTGATTAAAAACACAAACACAGAAATCCAGGGGAGAATCCAAGATGGCTGCCCAGGTAAACACCTAGCCGCAGCCGCACACAATTTCAATAAAATACAACTAAAATATAAAATGGACATTATCCAGAACTACAGGAAAGTTGACTGACTGGAAATTCTACATCAAGAAGCAAGGAGAAAACCAGAAGAAAGGAGCTGTAAAAGCCTAAGGTACGGAGACACGCAGCGCGCGGAGAAGACGGAGCCGGAGAGGAGGGAGCCTGAGTGCCTGGCTGGCGTTCCCTAGCAGGAAGGAGATAAAACTCTGACTGTGTTGGGCCACAGTTCTGACTGCTCTGCACCCCAGTTCTAGGCCAGACCCCGGGGACCCAGGCTCATCCATAGGGAGCTGGGCTGTAAGGCAGAACCCCGGGGGAGCGGCGAAAGGAGGTACCGGAGGCACGCACGTTGTGCGCGGAGAAGGGACTGTTGGCTGTGCCGCGGAATTGCCCTGGCGGGAAGGAGACTGGGGCTCCAGACTGCTCTGAACGCCACCTCCAACTCCACTTCCAACTGAACTGAACCCCCGTTCCGGGCTCATTGGGGGAGAGCTTAGACTATTTGGTAGCAGGCAAAAATCGAGGGCACCTTTCTCTCAGAGGCGCTTGTTGGACCCTGAGACTCAGGAGCCGC